CAGGTGGGAGTACAGTGGCATGATCTCAGTTCACTGCAGAAATCAGGTTCAAATGATTCTCCTGCCTCAGATTTCTGAGTAGCTGGGACTACAGGTGCAACACCACACCCAGATAATTTTTTGTATTTTTAATAGAAACGGAGTTTCACCATGTTGACCAGGATGGTCTCGATCTCTTGACCTCATGATCTGTCCGCCTCAGCTTCCCAAAGTGCTGGGATTACAGGCGTAAGCCACTGCGCCCGGCCAAGACAGAGGGTCTTGCTGTGTTGCCCAGGCTGGTCTTGAACTGCTGGCCTCAAGTGATCCTCCCACCTTGGCCTCCTAAATTGCTGGCATTACAGATGTGAGCCCCTGCAGCAGGCCCCACCTTCCCTTCCAAATACAGGCTTATCAGCACCGTCTCTGTAGCCTGTCTCTGAAATGTCATTTTTATCTCATGGTTTGGGGAAGAGGAGGGAGAAGGGAAGAGAAGAAACTTTGCTATTGGAACTGGGTCAGAATTGGAACAGAGAAAGCAGGAACGAGCTCAGTCACGCCTTGACTGAGCTGCTGAGGCCACAGGCAAGAGAAAGGAAGCTGTTTGTTTATCTAATGAATATTCATCGAGCTCCTGTTTAAAGCCAGCCGCCTGTTTTACATGCCGGGGATCCCTCTGTTGAATCCTGGCTCTGCCACTCACTGCTGGTGTTACACTGGGCAAGCCTCTGAACCTCTCTGAGCTTGTTTTCCCATCTGGAAAGTGAAGATGATGAGCTTCCCTGCCTCATAGGGATGTTTCAGGATGAAATGAGCCAACACAGGAAAAGCACTTAATGTGGTGCTTGGCGCAGAGTTAGTGCTCATGACTGCAGCTGTTACGGAAGATACAGCGTTTAGGTGTGAAGAGGGTCTGGTGTCTGCATCCAAGGAACTCACAGTCTCCGGAGGAGACAGACGTCTAACAGTCATCTGCAAAGCCTGAGGCAGTGCCAATAGAGATATGGGAAGAACTGTAAATTCTTCCTGCTGCAATCAGGGAAGGCTTCTTGAAGGAGGTGGCACTTGAAGGTTGAAAAGGAGTCCCTAGGAAGAGAGGTTTGCAGGGGGCATTTCTCTCTCCTTCCTTTCTTCTTTTCTTTTCTTTGTCTCACTGTCGCCAATGGCGCGATCTCCACATCTGGGGGATTTGCAAAGCAGTCATGTGAGTGAGGCAGGAGGGAAACCCAGTGGCAGAGAAGATGATGCCTTTGGCCTTGAGCATGGTGCGTTTGAGGACCTTGTGCATCGTTCCAGTGGTGTTTGCAGTTGGGCTCTTTAGCTCAGGAGAGCTCAGTTGAGTGGACACCGACCGCACATCCAACAGCTCTCATTCCCAAAGTGTGTTCTGAGTGTGAGTCCTTCAAAAGCACACAGTTCAGCCCCTGCTGGGCCTCATGGCACTTTCTAGTCAGGGAGGCAGACGAGAACAGAAGGAGGAGCCCAGATGGTTTCACACAGCACCCAGTCCTGCGAAGGAAGTAGAACAGTGAGGCGATGAGGGCAGGGCTTGGGGCCGGAGGCAGGCGGCTACCCTGGGTGGCGGCTACCCTGGGTCAGAAAAGGGAATCTCTCAATAGAAGTGACATTTGAGTCCAGGTGCGGTGGCTCACGCCTGTAATCCCAGCACTTTGGGAGGCTGAAGCGGGACCAACCTGAGGTCAGGAGTTCGAGACCAGCCTGGCCAACCTGGTGACACCTCATCTCTACGAAAAATACAAAATTAGCAGGGCATGGTGGTGCAC